CACTAGGCTTCTGTTTTACGAGGTGAAAGTGTGCCACGACCCTATGTGAGCCGGGAACCGAGGCTCCTTTTCAATCAGACCACACAGCATTCCAAGAAACTGTCGCTTGTCTGATCCACCTCTCCTTAGAGGTGATTAAAAAAATAGCTATTCAATTAGCATTTCGATAAGCATAATTTTCATTTTCATCTATTTTTTAATCGTTCGAAATAAAGAAGAAATAAATAATGACATCCAAACCCTACAGGATGGGGTCAGCTCCCTGCAGACAAATGTATTCATCAGCACTTCTTGTGCTGGACATGTTTGAATTAATTCAGGGAGCACAGGTTAGCAAATAGCAAGACATGTCCTCAGGTTATGACTGTGATCTTGAACCAAGCCCCTTAAGAGAAGAAACAACCATGCTGAAAAAGATCAGTGAAAAACAGAGCAGCCAGGATGACCCAAGGACCAAGAAAAGAAGTCTCGTATTCCCTGGCAAAACAATGATTTGGTGACTTCATGGCTCAATCGTTGTCATCACCAACACTGATATTTATTAAGCAGAGCATTGACAATAACCTCTCAGATCAATGATTGAGGCGCAGTAACAACTGTTTAATAATAGTATTAAATTCATTAATGTTAATAAAGACTACACAGAGTATAAACACACGCCACAGCTGCAAACATCATGGCACAGTTTAGCAGCAAAACTAAAAACTGTAGATGTGAAGTTGACAGGACAGAGGAAACTCTAAAGAGGAAACAGAATTCAACTTTTAGCTGCTGAAATAAACATTTTTAGACTGTGATGGAGCTCCAGATTTATCTGGAAGATGACTGCTCAATGTGCTTTGTGAGTAATTGGACAATGTTAGACCCACCCTTGTGTCTTCTGCTGGGAGAACACTGCAGGTGATATAATTATTTGGGGGAGAGGGTGCACAGCAGTGCCTGTGTGGTTTCCTGCTAGAAGCACATAGACTGCACTCTGTATTCTTCTTTTATGTATTTTTATTGAAGGGTTTTAAAACAGGATAGGATAAGATAATACTTTATTGATCCCCAGAGGGGAAATTCGGGCGTTGCAGCAGCACAGACAAGAAAGCTCAAAATACACATTAAACAGATTAGATAAATAAAAATAAAAACAGGGGGTATATGCAAAATGAATGATGAAGTTAACTATGCAGGGAGTTGAGACAGTATTTGTAGAGAATGAAAAGATAAAGTGAAAAGTGATGATTAAAGTGACTTGGTATGATAACTAGCAGCAAGTAATGTAAACAGCAGAGAAGAGAGGCAGTGTTGTACCACAGTAATGCAGAGTGCAGTTATATAATATAATATAATATAATATAATATAATATAGTGCAATATGAACAATATAGTGTAATATAATGAAAGGTTATATAATATAGACTAATATAATAATATAATAAAATATATAGAATGTACAGTATTTATGTCTATATACATTGATGCTATAATAATAATAATAATAATAATAATAATAATAATACAATGTTAGTAATGATAATAATAATGAAGCAGGTCATGTGGGTAATGTTTTATGGGGGTGAAGTTTAGTGTCAGGATGGACTGTTATTGTTGTCATAGGCTGCTGTTGTACAGTCTGATGGCAGTGGGCACAAAGGAGCGCCTGAAGCGCTCTGTTTTGCACCTGGGGGGGATGAGGCGTTGGCTGAAGGAGCTGCCCATCTGCCACAGCTCACCATGTAGAGGGTGAGAGGGTGTCCTTCATCCTCCTCTCACCCACTGTCTCCAAACTGTCCAGATCAAGACCCACTACAGAGCAGGCCTTCCTCACCAGCTTGTTCAACAAGATTAAGATTAAGATTTAAGATTTACTTTTATTGATCCCCGCAAGGGGAAATTTCAGTTTTTACACTCTGTAAGTCATGAACACACACATAGGTTGAAATATACACACACATGCACATACAGGATCCTATGGATATGCACTATGCCACAATAATGACAGAAACAGGCACTACATACATATACATTAAGACTAGACTTAAAACATTCTGTTTTGATAAATCTTATAGTAAGGGCTGGCGCAGGTATAGATGAGCTCGTAGTTATGCTGCTATAGGCTTAGACTACCTGGGGAACTGGCATCTTGAGCTCTTATCTCTCCCTCTCTCTCTCTCTCTCTCTGTGCATTCAGATCACATTACTGAATGTCGCTATCTGTTAATCTTAGTTACTAAGCACATATTTTCCTGAGCTCTCATGTTCCAGTGTCCTCTGGATCGTTGGTGGACAGCCTGCCTCAAGTTTCAGTAGATGGCTGTTCATCATGAGGAAAACAACGTTTTTTCTTGCCACTGTAACTTTGCTAAATGTTGCTAAGTGCTATGCTCATGATGGATTAACACTGGGTCTTTGTAATATAGCAAAGAGTAAGGGCTTTTACCTGCTTTTTGTAAAGTGTCTCGAGATAAAAACTTGTTATGAATTCACGCTATACAACAAAAGATTTATTTATTGATTGAAACAGCTACAGGATACCTCCTCAAATATTTAAGCATTTTGTCTGCTGGTCTAAAAGCATTGTGAAAAGTTAATCTGCACATCTGCTGTGAAAACAACAAGCAACGCTGCATATGCTGTGGTGGGTTTGTTGGGCTGCTTCTCTGCCATTTGACCGCCCTTTGAGGTTGTCTTCTCAGAACAGGCCTAACTATGAACTTCAACAGGATGTGAACAGAGGGGAGAGAAATACTAGCCTTCAGCAGGATCATTTCAGGGTGTGTTTGGTCATTTGCTCATTAGCAGTGCAGTTTTCTTTCTGTATTATGCCGTATTCCTTATAATTACATTGGTTCTTACGTATGCATTGTGCAGCACAGCTCCTCCATACTTTTAAAAATGTTGTTTTTATTGTGTTTAAAAGATGCAATTAAAGACATCTTAATACATGTAAAGGTATGTGAGGATTCAGTCACTGATAATGTGTGCAGGCTGCTGCTTAAACACTGCTCCCAGTTTAAGAGTAAACATGATTCAAGACCACAGTCTAACATCTCAACAATAGGCACCCCCACCCCTCCATCAGTCTTTTTTCTAAAGTAAGTTTCTATTTTAAAGATTCATAAAACAAAAACGTGTGATGTCATCCCTCTTGCCCTTTTAAAACACTAACACTTTAGAGCAGGTCGATGTTGACAGGCCTCAAACTGAGAGTGAGAGAACAAGTAAAGCCCCTCTGTGTTAACACCTCTGTTTGATGCCTGACCACAGCAGTGCTTAAGTTTCCATGTGTCATTTTTTTTTTCAGCGCTGACTTTAAATGTCTGTTTCTGTCTAAGTGTTTGCATGCACAGCTCTGCACACAAAGGAAATAAGTGAGAATACTAGACATGATGAGCCTGGTAACACCACAAACCATGATGCATTGGTCTTGGTTTTAATTACTGCACATTTAAGAACCCTTTGGACAGCTCGCTTATTTCCTTTCTGTAAGGAGGTTTTTATAGTGATGAACCAGACTGCATTATGTTGCCTCACAAGGTCTCATGTTCATGTCTATTATCAATGTATCATCAGGTAACTCTCAGATTCTCCTGAATTCAGTCCCTCGGTCTGGTAGCTGATGAGGTGCCAGGTCATTCACTTCCGTAGCACTGCTGAAGTACCACTGAACAAGCCACTGAGCCACCTTAGGATATCTTCTTCTTATTATTATTCTCATTTAAAATGTTGTAATTTTCTTCCTCCAATGAGGGCATGAGACAAACATTTTGAGAACCACTGACTTAGTCTGTCCATCCAGTCTTGATGATCTGCAGTCAAAGCAGCAAAGCATAATATGCGGATTCAAGCTTACCAATTTTAACCACAGCAGCAGGCCGTCCTCACCAACAAACCCAAGGAACCTACAAGACCTCTGAGCTCAGGAGCTCCCAGGAACATATGTGGTTGGTAACAAAGATTTACAGATAGCGACAGGCAGTAATATGATCTGTAAAATAGTCAATCAATCAATCAATTGTTATATAGTCAAATCACACAGAAACAACACACAAGATGCAAACACTTCTATGCATACAATAATGGTAAACATGAAAAAAGGATGGTGACCTCCTGGAAGCACAGGAGAGGAGGAGGAGCTCTGTTGTGGAGCATAAAAAAACATGAACTATTTAAAAACATGCGAGCCCCAACACTCACAGATGAGGATGTCCGTCACACAAATTAAACTATTGACAAGGAAATCAAATCCATTGTTAAGTTAGAATGTTAAAAGTGTTAAAAATCCCAAACAGAGACACGTGAACAAGGTACAGTCTCAGTGATCATAGACTAGAAATTCAAACAGGCCGTCATAAGAGTTGGAAAACCTAGATGAGAGAGAATGTTTAAAAACTGTAAATTTGAACAAATAGAAACAGAGGTTCACTTTCTCGTCCTCTGCATCCATATGAAGCTGTTGTATGAAGTCGAAGTGAAACTTTAATCAATGTTTTTTATCTTTCCATCACTTCCTGCGCTAAACCACAGAGTTGAGGTTAGCAGACCTTAACCTGATGTATCAACATGCAATTAATGAAAAAAAAAGCGTTCAACATATAAATGTGATGTTTTGTTCCATGTTGTCTTTTTCCTCACCCTTAATGTGAAAGTAAATTCTCTTGATATATGATCCAAACAAGGTGAAATAACATCTCATTAAGGGTTTATGTTTGTGTCCCAGAGAGCTTCACCATAAAAACATCAGCTTGGTCAACAGTGCAAAGTCAAAGATGCTCTGTAGGCAACCTTAACATCACATTTATTCATCTCTCGTGTTTTCAGCGTCTGAAACCCTCCATGAAACCAAAGCTCTCGCTTGTTTCATGTGTTTAGGTTGGAAAGACTCAACATTTCCACTGTTGTGGCACACAGTAGCATAATCACAAGCCAATCACGTTGCTCTGACACTGATCCCTCCCACATGCAATGATTTAATTACAGTGAATCATTTTACCTCGCAGTCAAAACATCAGCCGAGTGGATTCACCAGAAAATGCTGTTTGTGCTTAATGTGCTGATGATGCTCAGAGCGGGACGTAAGTGTACTCTCAAATATTCCTACACATGTAAAGAACTAAAGTTTAACGTTGAAGAAGAGAGCATGCACAAGTCTGTCATCTCTTATATTTATGTGACAGAATGTCTTTTCAGGATGCATGAATCATCCGTCCTTTGATGAAAAGACTGCTGCAGTCGGAGACGAGGTTGAAATGAAGTGTAAGCTTGACTCTACAGGAAGCTATTTCTGGATCCGCCTCGGTTCTGGAAACTTTCCTGAATACTTAGGAAAAGCAAATGGCTTGGATGTGAAGAATTCACGCATTACAACTATGGAACAACGAGATAAGGGAGGAGAATTTATTCTGCGTATGAGAAAAGCAGAGCTGAGGGATACAGGATTTTATTATTGTATGAGAACAAATCAACGAAACTTGACTTTTCTGACAGGAACAAACCTGACAGTTAAAGGTGAGCTAATTATAATTTACACTAATTTAGCTATTTGTAAAAGATTGTGTTGAGAGTTGACAGAATTACATTTAAAAATCAGATTTGAATCTCCCAGCAGCACAACCTGGAGACGCTGCAGTCCGTCCTCCTGATCCGGTCGGTCCGGGAGACTCAGAGAAGAAGCAAACCTGTCCAGGAGAACACAGTGCGTGCTGCTTCAGAGCCGGATCACATCAGTCTCATCCAAGATGGAATTTCACTCCAGAGAACAGTGTTAAAGGAAGTGAAAGGAACCCGGCTGGAGTCTCGATAAAGAAATGTATTTGCAGTGTCACTCAGAACTTCAGCTGTTCTGGTGAGGGGACTTACTTCTTTGCTGTGGACACGTGTGAGGAGAAAACTTCTGGAAACAGATCAGACTCGGCCAAACAAGGTAAATGTTTCCTTGGTGTTTGAAATGATGAGTTCAGTGCCCTGACTTGTATTTACCTTAGTCTATGAAATAAGCCTTATTTTGGACAGTCGTCCAACTAAGACGAGCCTTTAGGTTCAGGTTCACTGACTTTATTGGTACCACTTAGGTT